CTATACAAGAGGCACGTAAATAGAAAACTAGACGAGTTATAGCCTCTAAAAATAATACTAATAGTAATAGAAATGACCAAGCTATTGCTTGCCTTACCAAACAAATTGCTAAGCTTAATATCAACCTTGCTAAAAAACAACCTGCTACTTCTGTCTATTACTCTAAAAGTAACAACTCCTCTTGCTAAGATAATAATAATAACAATAATAATTCTCGAGACAATACTTGCTACTACTGTGGCAACTGAGGACACTTTATTAGAAATTGTCATGACGAAGAGAAGATAATAGAAGAAGCTCACATAATTATCGATCCTCTAGCCAAGATAATAGATACTTCTTTAGGAATAATCAATTTTATGACAGATCCAGATCTCGTAATAGAGATAGATTCAGAAACCGAGATTATGACTAAGGAAATAAATCTAGAAGCAGAAGTCAATCCTGTGATAGATTTCGTTCTGACAACCGTTCCTCTTATGACTGGAACCATAGGTCTAGAAGCCAATCCTCTACCTCTATCCTCGAAATGTATATACTGCAGATATGGCTAATGACTATACCTATGAACAATTTGAACAATTCTTAGTCAATGAATCTATCAGAACAGCCTTAGCTAATTATCTTGTAGAAGAATCTAGCACCTTTAACCAGACACAGACACCAACTTATACTACTCCTGTTAAGTATAATATTAAACTCAAAAACAGATCTTATCATGCTATTGTTGACAATGGAGCTACAATTAGTATGATCTTTTACAAAGTTGTCAAGGAACTTGGCTTAAAAATTGAAGCTCTCTTCACTAGCTTAATTGTATTAGCTACTGGACCCTCTACCAGACTTCTAGGAATTATTAAAAACCTACTAGTAGAAATCAAAGGAGTTACTATCCCTCTTGATATGGAAGTAATAGACACTATATTTTATTCTCTGCTCTTAGGAAATAACTAGTCACAAAAAGTTGAAGCCAGTTATAATTAGAAAAACAAGACCTATACAATTAAGTGGAATAAAAAGAAGATCTATGTTCTAACTACCTATAAACAACACCAACCATTGCTAGCTTAACCAACAGTAACCAATGAAAGAGACCTAGCCCAATTTGAACAGAAATATCTTGTTTCTAAAGAAGCCTATACTGTTGATCCTGTAGCAACCACTAATAAAAACCTGTAGATTACTCAGACCTCCAAAACCAGACATAGAACCCAACAAGCACTCTCTACCAAGACATGCTAAGGATATAACTCTACAACCTACCTCTTTGCTGACTGTCCTCACAACCAATATTATCACTGCTATCAATCTAGATATATCTCTGCCTATTGCTCTTACTAAGTTCCTAAGTGAGACTTTTGTAAAACTCGTGCTCAACCAGGACATTTCTATAGAAACTGTTCTCAAAATAAATACCACCAATGTGGTCAATACAGTCATATTAGTATTGATTGCCCTCTTGCCTCTATCAAGTTGGATAACCAAATATACAGATATGGATGTTCCTCCGATGAAGTAAATAAACAATAGCGGAGCTACTACTCTTGTAAAAGAGTTAACCATTGTTGTTAATGCAAAGTACCCCAGAAACCAGAAGACCTTAGATTGATAGACCAGACTCTAGTCTGTAGAGCTTGTTGAATCGACTTTCATTATGAACTAGACTGAAATAACCAAAGAAGTATTAAATACTTTACCAATAGTGATGG